AGCATCATATAGTTATCAAGTTTCTTTAATATTTTCTGTTTAATTTATATATACAGACTTTCCTTGAATGCGTGAGATTACGAACGTTCAGCAAATATGGTTTACAACAAATCCAAGTGGATACTCATTATTTACAACTTTATTTATGGCGATTCGTGTCAGATGAAAAGTAAGAGAGATTTCGATTTAATTTTATAAGTTAAAATAAATAATTTGTGTGTATGTGTGTATATGGATGTATACATGTATATATATTTACTTACACTTATTATTATTTGTAGTGTGGTTCACTTTTTGCTGGACGAGATTTTAGGTAGTGCAGTCCATAGATGTCTGGACCCTGTTTTGATGGAGCCCAGCGTAGTGGACATTATTTGCGATGCAAGAGGTTGAATTATGAACGTTAATAAATTATCTTGTACAGTCGTACATAGAAATATGTCAAAATAATATGTCATGGTAATATATGCAAAGTAAAAATATCTTGAAATTATAATAGCTGCAATATTTAAATATGTATTATGTAATATATATAAAATCATAAAAGTAATAGTTAAGGATTAGGATTAAATTATATACAATAATTAATACACACTGTTTCATTTATTATAATATATAATCTCTTATTAAAAAATCCTCAAACTCTTCTTTTCATCCTTTTCTATCATGTTGTGAAACTGATTATGATTATTCCTACCTATATATCTATATATATATATACACATATATATGTTTCTTACTGATGTAAATGGTATACTGCTTGTAATAGCTTTATATTTTTAACAAGATATATATATATATTATATATATATATATCTTGTTAAAAGTATAAAGCTATTACAAGCAGTATATCATTTACATCAGTAAGAAACAGCACAGAGTCAAATGATTTTAATAAATCTGAATTCTTTATCACATTTAAAATTTTTTCGCCGAGTTCTCTTCACACTTTCAAGTTCTTTTTTTTTAGAAATATATATTTTTATTATTTTTTACATTATATATATATTATGAATAAAAAAAAAATTATATTTCATATAACACATGTAGTACATTTAAAAAATTATTTCTTATATTTTTGTTTTACTTGTTTTTTATTTTATTTACGTTATAATCACTTTTGTCATTTTATTTATTTTTTATTTTAATTTTCTATTTTTAATCTTTTATTTTATAGCACAATTTAATGCCATTACAATCTCTTTACAATACTCTAATTCATCAGAATATAGTCGATCAATTAAGAGACAAATGGGGTCGCAATAAGTTTATCGTTTGTATAGGATACCAAAGAGAACTTGTTGGTTGTAACCCCTTGGCAGTAGCTATCTCTCGACTTAATTCGGACTTCCTCTCTCTTGGGATGAGATTCATTCGGCGAGTATCCGGCCTGAACCCACGCATGGCATTCTATCCAATTTAATAACACTCGCTCCCCTGAAACGCTTTCGGCAAACTGTGACTGTAAAATTTGATTCTGAATTCTTTTACAAAGAACTGAGTTTATATTAATTATCATTCTAATCTTAAAGAAGAGGACACTTAATGCAATAAATACAATAGTGTCTACAAAATATTCTATATATTTTTAATTTCATTCACGTTTAAAAAATTAGAATAACTTAAATTAAAATAAATTAAATTAAAGGTTTATCTCTATCTTTGATATCATTTTATTTTCAAGATCTCTTAATGCATCTTAAATAATTTTATATTCTTCTAATTATAGAATATTCCTTTTTACTTTATATTATCGATCTTTGTGTGTATCAAATACATGTAATAGAAAAAATTTAATAACACATTTTTTACGTTTCTCAAATAAAAAAAAACGAAATTAAATTTATTTGAGATGCATTGAAGAGAGATCTCGAATATAAAATGATCTCAAAGATAGAGGGACAACAAACATATGGTAGCAGACACACGTGATATCTCAAGAAACACCTGTGCATGTGTAACTTGTTGGCAATTTCTCGTGGCATTCCATCTGAAGCTGCTGCTACATATAGATACCATAATACGTACTTCTAGCTACGACGTGTCAAAGTGAATTGATAGTTATGTGAAGCGTTCGTTTCAAAGGCTGGAATAAGCTTACAATTCATAAATCATCTGCGTAAAGTATTTAAAATAATATATAATATACTATATACACATATTAGAACACAATATTCTCTGTTAAAGATAGATTTTATTAAAAATTTATTTTAGATATACAACGTCCTACTTAGAGAATAGTCGTTTTATTTTCGGCTTTTCTTTAGCAATTTCTCGAAATTGGTTTCTTTTTTATGTATGATTAATACATTCACATGTCTAATCAAAAGATGACAAATGAAAAGGAAATAAAGCAAGTAATTGTCGGCATTGTGTAGTACTAACATTGCTTCACTTTGGTACTTAAAATAGACCCGCATGAGAAAGTCACGGTCGTCATAAAATCGCTATAGCGTTTCAAAGTACATAGTATAAGCGTGATATGTATTAAAGTTTTTGTACACAATTTTTTTAAAGATAAAATTTTTTTGTTCTTTTTAAAGATAAAATATAATTGTCTATTAATTTCTAGATTTTATGATATTGAAAATTTTAATTTTACATATGTTTTTCTACGACTAAATTTCAGGATTGAGAACGTTATTATGTGGTAAATTTTCTATGTCACATTAGCGTATGTGTGCGGGCGTGACAAAACTATATTTAAACACACACATACACAAATACACATCTACATAACGTTTTATATATACGTACGTATATAAATTTTTTCTTTAAAAACGTATGACGTATATTAATATTATATGCTAATTTTGTTTCAGATTCTTAAGAAATAATATACATTTTCCAGAAATAGCAATAAGGATATTTCGATTTGTGACCGTAACAATGGGCGAAGCACCATTAGAACGCTCGTTGGTGCGTTCACAAATCTAACTATCCTTTTTACGTCTTTAAACATACATTCATTAGTAAATTTTGAAAAATGTACCCATACAGCACAGAAAAATTGCAGAAACATTGCAGAATGATTTCACTGAAACATTGCAATATTGCATGGTAGTTGCGAAACGTTGCTGAATCATTGCTGCAAGATTCCAACAATGTTAAGATGTCCGCTTTTTTAAATATTACAACGAAATGTTCCAGCAACATTGTAATGTAATATATTTAGATAAATTTTTTATGAAGATTCTAAAATAAAAAATATTTTCTGTACATATATCTCGCTAACTTTAATTTTTCTACAAAAATCGCATTTCTAGTGCTTTATTTAAATATAAAAATTATATTATATCATAAAAACGCCAGTTAAACTAAAAGACTGTACTACATAAATATTATAAAAACTCATATTTTTATATTATTATTATTGTAACAATTAAAGAATTATAGTTTTGCAATGTTTGTGGAATATTACAGGCATATTACTGACATTTTGCAGGCATATTGTTAATTTATATTTCTGTAATATCTCTGCAATATTGCAACATTGCAGCAATATTACTTCAATCTTCTGTATGGGTAATTAATAGATACTCTAATGACAATTAGAATGTGTGTGTGGAATCAATTTAAATTTCGATATTTTTTGCAAACGTATGCATCTATCAATGCATGTAAATTATATATGTAATAATATCAATTTCTGATATAGATTTAATTTTTCCTGATAAATATTTGAATACAATTAATATATGATAAAGTTTAAAAGAAATATAAATTAATTAGGAAAAAACATTCTTAATTCACTAGCTTACTTGCATGTTAAGTAGTAGTGCCGTAGGTGATGATTTCAAAAATTCACTTCGACACGATTGCTTCACATGCTGGTAGGTGCAATCAACGTGAAGCTGGAATGAAAGTAAAGTATTACATATACAAGTAAGAACTAAATATTTTCTAGATAAAATTCTTTTTCTCTTAATTCCCTTAGTTCCCATTTTTAATTTATTCTTTTTCTTCGAATTCTTGAGTTAAACTTCTTGAGTTTTTCATATCTTCTTTTTATTTTAGTTTGACAATCTATATGTGGGATTATGGGATTTAATTCGCGACGAGAACGCGAGTAATCTCGTCGCGGAATTTGAATGAGGGCCTTACTGAACCGGTGAATAGTTTGATAACAGTTCCCCTCTAGATAGATGAAGGGGAAAGGAGGGACAAGATCATTCGCCGTCGGTTGGCGGACTATTCAGTGCCGCGACCGACACTGATTTCAATTGGTAAATTGACTCAGAATGAGTGGGAGAGAAAAAAATGGCAGCATGGAGTGATCGACGATGAAGCCACGGAAGTAGGGGAAAAGACAGTGGCGTAACTAGCATTTAAAAAAATGTTTAGGAATTTAAAATAAAATATATACAATTTTGTAATACACATATATTTTATATATAAAAGTAAATTAAATTATAAAATAATAATAAATAATTTATATAAATTTAAAATGTAGTATTTATGAAATTAATGGTTACCAAAATTGAAATATATGACTTATTTTTATATATTATTCCTATTTTTGTTCATTCTACATTCCCATTGCTTTTGTTTCATTCCTTGTTTACTTCTGTTCACTTGTATTATTTCATTTCACTTTTTGTAAATATGCATTATGAGAAAGGAGAGAGAAAAAAGAAAGATAAGCAAAATAAAAAGAAATAATTTTTTCTTATCATTTTATTCAAAAATTAAAAATTCATTATTTTTGTTGTCAGAGAGAAAAGATCCTAAGGATTAATTAATCAAAAAGATAATAGAAAAAGGTAGTAGAAAATACTGTCAGAAAATAACGGTAGCTATGAATGTCTCTTTTCTCGTCACCAAGCAGTTGGTTAATAGGCACTGAACGCCGTTTGAATGCTTAATGCGGCGCGCATTCTAGGATTAAATTGACCAATCATTTCCCGCGCGCACAGCGGAGCCAATTGCGCCGCGCGCTCGCGCGCCCTCCTATATCAAGCCAATCAACGGCATTTAACGTTCAGTCGTCGTCGCGTCGCTGTGCTGTGCGTGTTGCTGCAAATTGTGCTGTGTGCGTGCGTGCGTGCACCACTATATCAAGCTAATCAAGCGTGCACGGCCAGCACGACGCTCAGTCACTGCGTGCTTCGTCAGTGAAGTTTTTTTTATTCTGTTCACGTAGAACTGTAAAACACGCGCGAGAATAAAGCTGCGATTCAGCACATTTAGTGAAACGAAGTGAAGAATGTACGCGAGTTGGTTTACTTTCGTTTGTAATAATAAAAAACTTTTAATAGTTTTTTTACTTAAAAAAGTAGTACATTTATACAGAATTTAATTATTTGCTTGTGCCCAATATCATAAAGTCCTCCGTCTATTTATATATTTTCTCGGTTGGATTTTAAAAGCTTTAATTTTGTTAAATTTGCTCATCTATAATATTCAAATATCTTTGTTCCTCTATTAAAATTAATCTTCAGAAAATGATAATTAATTGTGCTATACACATGTATCTATATTATCTGTTACAATTTTATTTATATGCACCTATGTGCGTGCGTGCGTGCATACGTGCGCGCGCGCGCGTGTGTATGTGAGATTATTAATAGAAATATCTAATAGATATTTGCATATCGTCTCTGAATTAATAAAAAAAATTGTGATTACTACATAAAATTAGTTGCTTACGTACACGATGTGCTAAAGGGTTAAAGGTTACTTTCGATTTCCTGCGATTGTTTTGACAAGAATGTAAGAATTGTTAAAATATATATAAAACAATTGTTAATTGAATTTGAACGTTAATTTTTTTCTATGAGAATTTAAATTAATGTTCTCGAAAATTTTGATATTATTTTCTTTCTTATTATTAGATTCTTTAGAATTATTATTAATGTTATTTTTATATTTTTAAGCACTTTGAACAAGTTCTAAACTTTATAAGTTAAAATATTTTTTTTAATTTTTAATTAATTTTTTATAACTTTTTATTTGTAGTTGAGCTTCAACTTCTTCTTAATTAATTAACTTTTCATTACTAAATCAATAAATAATTGCTAAATAATTTAATTATTTGTAAAGATTTTAAAATATTATTTTCTTGTTAATCTTCAATTTCAAGTAAAGTACATTGAAATTAGAAGATATATTTTCTTATTCTGAAAATATACGCTCTGCTCTCTTCATGGGTCTTCGCTCTTTATCGCGATGACTTCTTCACCTCGCACACACGATAATATAGAGTATAGGATATAAGAGAGGGAAGATACGACTAGAGTTGAAATACCAATAATATATTCAGTGAGAAAGTAACTTGAGAAGTAGCTATTAACAAACAAAATTTTTTTTATATTTACTTAGGTTCAGTCAATGAAATCAGTTGCATGACACTTAGTAATTTCTTTTTAATTGTTAACATTGAGTTAATTGAATAAATTGCATGATATTATTAATTTGTTATATTTTTAAATGCAACAAATAAATTTGCATTTTTTATTTTCCAAATTATTATTACGTCTTTGTAATATTTATTACTAATAACATTACTTAATAAATTGAATAAATTGTAAGATTAAATAGTTTTATTACAATTTTATTCTAATAAATAATGTCACTATTAATATAAAATGATTACTATTACACACACACACGCATTCATTATTTTTCAAACTATTTGTTTTGTAAATAATTTGTTTTGTAATTAATTAGGTAATCCATTTTGCATCAAAATACTAAAAGCTAATTTAATTATATTAGTAACAATATTTTGCAAAAAGAATAAATAGGTTGAGGAATTTAAAAATGTAAAAGTATTTATTATAAATAGTATACAATTTTACAGCTTAGAAATTAATTAAGAAATCGAAAGAGTTTAGAAGACTTTATAAGTTTAAACTATTATGTATATAACTAATTAATTATTAATTAACAAACATTAAAATTGTTTCCTTCTTTTCTCTTAACATCATATCGTTATTATTATCATTATTCTATTCTATATAATTATGTATTTTATCTTCTTTTTTATGTCTTTGTTATCTTTCGAATGTGTTTAAACGTCTTAATACTCATATTCTCGTAGTAAGTAGTCATTTTCAAATTAAGGGAGGAGAGAGGACTTAATGAACATCGAGAGAAACCACCGACATTAGCAGAAATTGACGTTAATTGATAACTTCAACCCTTCTATTCTTTTTTGTTTTATCCCACGACAAGTTTTTGTCTCTTCTTTTTTAATCTTAACAATCGTCAATATATTAAAAGAGTTAGCTGTTTTATTTAGAGAATATATCATTATTATCAAATAAATTGAAGCAAATTTGAAAGTTTTTAACGAATAAAAAAAATTAAACAAAAAATGAATAAAACAATATTACGTTTCTAAATATTAAAATAATATATTGTTAAAATTAGATCGAATAAAGTTAAATAATGAGGTATAAAATTAAATTTCAATAAAAATAAGAAAATTTAGCATTTTTTAATATTCTGTTTGCTTATGTTTTCAATTCTTTATTCTTTTTCGGAGGTGATACAATTATTATATTATAGTCTGTGTATATATTGGTATGTAAATGTTAAGCTGAATCTGCAACGACGGTCTTTAATCCTCTTTAACGAATGATTAAAACTTAATCCGAGTGACATTAAAAAGTACGTAATAAGCAGCACAGCATATATTGCTTTTATCTATTAATGTTTTTATTTATACATCTATTCCATTATGTACACACACACACACGCACGCACACACACATTATATACATATACATATATAAAACTTCATTTATTTGAGAAATTTTATTAGAATGTCCTTATCGCGCGTACACGTAAAAGATTATTGTTGTAAATATCCATATATTATTAATTTTTATATATATTTTTTCATGTCAATTAGATTAAGCATTACATATAATACCTATACTGAGAGAAGAAAATGATTGCAATTACTACATAATTTAATTATATTAATAAATTTAATTGTAATTTAGAATCATTTTTGGTATCAACTATATACTTGTTTGATAAAAGTATAAATATAATTATTATTACTTATAACATTATAGTAATAATAACTACAAAAATAAAGCTATTAATTATAATTATTTTACCGTGCAATTATAGTTATATAAATACAAAATTTTTCTCTCAGTATCTATCTCATTTTATGGGCAGAATATCGTTATTAATAATTATTTATTTATTTATTTTTAGTCACTTATTTTTCATTATATAAAGCACAATTATTTCTTAATTTATATATTTTCTTGTAATCGTTCTCTCTTATAATAATTTATATATTTTATATTTTCATATTATTACATCTTATGCAATCTTGATGCTCGAGCAATTTCTAGCAAGACTATGAATGATGAATAGAACGTTTGAGAAAAGAGAAACACACTCGCCAAACACAGAACGCAGCGAAATCAAAGATTCAGTTGTACTCTCACTTCTTTAATCTTTCATCTTTGTAATAATATGTGCTTTGACTTAATTTTACTGTATTGTACTGTATTAATTATAAGATGTACGAGTGTTTGAAAATAACTGAACATGTGTATTTATAATTTTTGTTAATACATATATATATATATATATACGCACATATATTTACAATACATTTAAATAAATATATAAGATGTATAAAATATACTTATATATTAATATATACAAAATCTAGACTTATCTTATATAATTAAAATATGATATAAATAATAACATAATCTTATCTTATATAATTTTATTTTGTTAAGATATACATCACTATTTTTTACGTATTATTTGATACATTATTATGAAAATAATTATTATGTTACATTATTTTTAATAATATAAAAGTTTATACAAAATTAAACAAGAAAATTTGAATATATTCCAGTAATTATGAGAGAATGAGAGTGAAAGAAAGGAAGGAGTTAGGAGGGAAAGGAGAATACAGTGGGCGACTTTAATGATTTCTCGAGGCTGTTTTAATAGAGTACGTCTGCCGTTGCATCATCACTGTATACCGGGTGTCCAACTGATTAATAACTGTTGACAAGTTTTTAAATAATTTTGTAGGTTTTCCTTCAGGAAAGATGTGGTGAGAAAAAAATTTTTCAACGTAATTTTATAATTATTTACCATGTAATTTTCACCGTAAATTTATAAATTTTCAACGCAATTTTACAATTATTTAAATTTTACAATTATATTTTTATAAATTTTACTTTTAAAATATTATTTATTACTATATTAATTTGTATTATTATTTAACATTTATATACATTTTGTGGTAAAAATTATTTAAAATTTTCTGTAGTTAAATTTTATAATATTTAATTCATATATAAAAAAAAGCAATAATCTTTCTTTTTTTTTCTATTTTTCCCTATTTTTCTTTTTTGTCTAGGAGATAGACAGCGCATATATACATGTAATAAAAGAAAAGGAGAAAAGAAAGAAAAAAACAAACCAAACTACCAAAAAACGAAGAGAAAAGAGAGAGAGAAAGAGAGAATCTTAATTAATCCTAATAAGTCCATATTGCCGGTAATACCCGGTGAGATTAGATAATTGGCGGAGGAACTCAATAATTCACACATGACTTGTACGACACATGTTTTTCTTTTTATTATTGCACAAAATAACCTGTAGAGTTTTCCTCCGTTATTATCGTATGAACGGTTAGTGACAGATGTAGCGATAGCACATTTCATGTATAATGTATGTTTCATATATAATATATGTACATAAAAATTTTATAGAAAAGGGTACTCAACTGATTTGTTCTATTCTTTATTAAATTCTACAGATTACTAAAATTTATGTTTTATTGCTTTATTTTTATATTTTATAATATAATATATGCACGTGTGTATTTTGTTTACAGGAAGCATTGAATAACAATTCCTAAAGGACTTTCTTTGAATAGGAAGATAATATTAATCTTTTCTTTATAATTATTTATAATTAAAAATTGTATAAAAATAAATAAATATTTATAGTATAACAATAAATAAATATTTATTTTTCCTATTTTATCTTTTATTATATTTTTACGTTATGTTATATATTTTATTTGCAGAATAACTGATCTCTTTGAAGCTTCAATGGAAAAGGAAAAATTAAGTCCTGTCCTGTTCCTAAGTACTAGTGCCGCAGGAGTGATTAGGCTGCATAAGACATTACCGTATCTCCTGCTGCTCAAGTGCTTATCAACGGGTCGGGACGCTTGTCAACTTTTATTCATGATCTAACAAGCAACAGAAGATTTGGATACTTTTATTTTGTTGTTTCATATTATTTAAAAAATGTTGTAGAGCGCATTTTTAATAAAAATGGATTTATTTCTCTTATTTTTAAAATATTCTTTGTAATATTATATAATAACAATAATAATTATATAGTAATAATAAAAGTTATGACAATAATCTAGCGATTATATTTAACATATATGTATAATGATTAAAAATAATTAGATTTATATGTGTATGTATGTTATATGTATATAAATGTATAAAATATTTAATTATTGTAGTATATAAAATAAAATGTACAATAAATATTAATTTACAATTTATACTATATTTATATTATTGGAGTATTTATATTATTGGGTGTACCAATAAGTTTTAAAGCGTTTTTAATGAAATTTCATGTTTATTTATTTAGAAACGAAAACACACTTAATTATCAAAATAATCCCCGTCATTATCTATGATCTTTAGCCATTTTTCGGACAGCTTGCGAATTCCAGAAGAGAAGAAGGTTCCGTCTTTCGATGCGATAAAATTATCCACTCATTTTCGCAATTCTTCAAACGCTCGAAAGTGTACAACGGACAAGGCGCTTTGCATTGACCGAAATAAATGATAATCAGAAGGGACTATACGCCGGATGCGGCAGAACTTCCCAACCCAGTGTTGTTAGACTTCAAAAAATTTTGTCAAAAATGTTGAAAATTTTTATATATTTTATATATTTTACATATGTAATATATTTCTATATATGTTTACATATGTAAAATATGTAAAATATAATAAAATTTTCAACATTTTTGACAAAATTTTGCATAGGCGACTAATGATCTCCTATTTACTAGTACCGGTACGTTACTGAAGTTACATTGGACGCGCATGCGTCTGAAATCCGGCCCGTCTGACAACCTTAGAACATATATAAATGGAAGGGGCATTGCCTATACTTGCCCATGGCTCGCAATGATGCAAACATCTGTGCGAGAGAGAAAGGTAGTAAGGGATAAATGTTCTCAATGCGCATGCGCAGCATTATGTTTTACACATCTGTGTAATGTATGAATGTGTAAGAAACACTAACCCCGGATCTACAATAGGTGTTTTAAGCCTTAAGCTGTAAGAAATTGACCAATTACTGTCGAATCCGAGAAAAATAAGCGACTGTGATTCGCCCATTTCTTATGG